AGAAAGAAAGAAAGAAAGAAAGAAAGAAAGAAAGAAAGAAAGAAAGAAAGAAAGAAAGAAAGAAAGAAAGAAAGAAAGAAAGAAAGAAAGAACTCTTAAAAACTTTTTCTCATTGATCTCAGCTGGTCTGGTCTAAACCAGGAAATGTTTATTTTGATTTAATGTCAGGTTGTTTGCCTGTTTCTGCTGTAATAATCTTTGATCTGGTCTGCAGTGGTTTTCTGATGCTTCTGAACCTCTGGTCAAACAGCACAGGGAGGAAAATGAGTCTGAAACAATGCTGGTGGCAGATGTACATTCCTATGAAGCCATTTATGTATCATGAGTATTTTTTTGTAACAGATTTTGTAATAYGATTTGAAATTTGTAACTGTRTACTTATGATGTGTAATAGTCAACTTGTGATTTGGAAGCCTGGCCTTTAGCAGCCTCTGCAGGACGTTGTGTTGTTGCTTCTTTTCTTCATCATAGTCATTTAAGTGAAATGAGGAGCAGGATTCCTCCTGAAGTCGACCAATTGTTTAGTCTTATCAACATTCAAGAACAGGCYGATAGAAAAACATTATTATTCTTTGTGTCATATGTTTTAAACTAAGTATTTAACTTTTACTATAGCTGCYTTCCAGCTTTTCATCAGCTGATCAGCCTATTGTCAGAAAACCAACCTGTTCCTGGTTGGTGTGGTCCTGCTAACCTCACAGGATGTGGACGCAAGAGGAAATGCAACCCCAGGTAGATCAGACAGATAGTGTGGATGGTWGAAAAAGAGACAAGGAACCCATCCAAAGTCATTCAAGCTGAACTCAAAGGTCAGGGTACATCATTTTCTGATCACATAATTCACCAAAATACACACAGATAAACTGCAAACTTTCTGACAGAACTCACTGATGAGAGAAAACTTTGAGTCCAGCCACATCCGTTCTGTGTCTAGGAAAAAATTAAGCTTTCAAAGAAAACATGGAGGTGCACCTTGAGTCTGTGCAGGTCATAATGGAGTCTCAAGACTACCAAGGCTTCCAGGAGTCAAACATACTGCAGAGAGTCAAAAAGCTCAGCCACCTGCAGGCAGTTGTGGGATGTAACAAAGTACAACTACTTCGTTGCTGTGCTTGAGTACATTTTTCATGTATCTGTACTTAGTAGATTTCATCATAGGTACTTTTGACTGTTACTTCACTACGGTTTATATTAAGTATCTGTACTATCTACTCCACTACATTTCTGTAATGCATTGAATTACAAATTACATTCATGTCATGTCGCATTACGTTTTTTTTTTAGTTTGAAAGGAATCAGTGGCGAGAGAGGAATTGCTGCAATTGGTCCATTGAACCACTGCAAAACTAGCTTGGCCCTTGCCTTCCTATACAGCTCCGCTCAATTCTAGTTTCCCTTCTCTGCTTCGTCTGGNCTGTAATATCAGTATAAATGACAGTTTTTATTCATTTAGCAATAATTTATATATAAAAATAATAAAACTTTTATTTACAGTGAAATATATCGTATTGATAATATGTTGTAGCCACCCCCAAACAATGTTGCAACTGACCCCTGCCCCGGGGTCAGTTGCAACATCTGACTTTTCATTTTCAAATGCAAATAGTGAAGAATGTACCTGCTTTAATCATCTATAAAGGGTTTTGATTAACAGACAGATGTAAGTTTATTGTATTAAAAYCTGGTTTTTAATTCAAACCATSTCTGTGTGCCAAAAGTGTTGCAACTGTCCCCGGTCTCCCCAATTTTCTTGATGTTTTATTCTGTGGTTTGGTGTTAAAAACTAAACTGTTGATTCTGATTGTTGGAGGACACTTAGTTACTCAAACAGGTGTCGTTTCATCAGAACCCGATGAGCGGCACTTGAAGCCCAGCTGGACCCTAACGGTTCTGGGTCTAAAGCCCCGCTGGAGGAGGAGGAGGGAGACAGGCTCCTCCCGCCGTCAAAACGCTTCTATTCGGCAGCAGAAAACAGACAAAAACAAGCCGGACTCATCCCGCATCGCTCCATCCGTGCAGCTCCAACACACCCCGATAAACACTTATCGGTACCGAGCCACAGAACCGCTCCTACATGTCTCTTCACGCACTCCGAACTTTTCCGACACACGCGCGCACATATTCCACACATTACGGTAATAAATCAAGGCAAACAGCGGGGCAAAAAAAGACGCGTCTTAAAGCGGATTAAAACTAAAACTTACACCCAACTAACAAAAACAAAACAAATAAAACATGTCCGCTCTGTTTGTTTGTTTATTATTAATATTATTCCAGATTATTTATAGCTCTGCTCTGTCCGCCCGGGAGGCTGAGCTCTCGCTCCGTTACTTTTCCAGAGTTTAACGGTTCGGATAGTTTTTTTTTGTCCCAGCCAGCGTTTTAACCCTGGCGAACAGAACCGAGCCGAACCTCTTGTCGGCCCGGTTCGGGAGCAGCGTGTTGTTCGTGTTACTTACAGTGAGTTGAGAGGAGAGTCAGGAGACAAGCCAGACGTGTTCTCGCCATCTTGGTGTCGAATGTTGGGCGCGAGCGGCCGAACATGCGCAAAGTAAAGCTCCGCGGCTTTAATGAGAGGGCGAGAGACACCCGCAGCCAGGGAGAGAGAGGGAGAGAGAGAGGGAGAGAGAGACACCCGCAGCCAGGGAGAGAGAGGGAGAGAGAGAGGGAGAGAGAGACACCCGCAGCCAGGGAGAGAGAGGGAGAGAGAGAGGGAGAGAGAGACACCCGCAGCCAGGGAGAGAGAGGGAGAGAGAGAGGGAGAGAGAGACACCCGCAGCCAGGGAGAGAGAGGGAGAGAGAGAGGGAGAGAGAGACACCCGCAGCCAGGGAGAGAGAGGGAGAGAGAGAGGGAGAGAGAGACA